ATTTCATTCTCATGGTGGTAAGGAAACATCCACTGAATGTGTGTAATGTGGAAGGAAGATTATACTATGATTTTGATGGCTAGATATTTTTGGGGGACTAGTAACAAAAGGTAAATTAAAAGGAAAAGTAAGGTAAAAATAAAAAAGAAAATTGTTATGAGCAGGAGTTGAACTCAAGACCCATTACAAACGAGAACCATAAGATGCATATCAGACCAACTCAACTGCCAAACCTTTGGTTTAAATTTTAAATTACAATAATAATAAAATTATTTTCTAGGTGCACACTAATAATTTTTTTTTTTTTACACTAACACAGAAAAATCTAGTAGTTGCACGTGCAACCCCGTGCACCACTACAAATCCACCCATGGGTATAGGTTAAAGTTGATCAATTATTTCTTTCCAAAGTTATATGGGGAAGAAGCAAGAGGTGAGATTATGCAAGTACGCAACAGAATTACTGAGTTATTTGAAGAGTATAAAAAGAAACATGATGAAAAACAAGGTGCTTCTTGGAAACGACAATGTGCAACAAACGTCTCTTATGGAAGGGGTTCTACTTTAAGCAAATCAACATGGGAGTTGGATTTCAAGAATATGCTTTTTGAGGATGATGGATTTGAAAAAACTAAGTTGGATGATTATTAGTTGAGAAGTTGTTGCCGAATAAGGAGGGCATTGACATATTAATGTGGTGGAAGTGTAACGGTTCTAAGTTTCCTATATTAAAGAAGATTGCTAAAGATATCTTAGTCATTCCAATTTCTACAGTTTCTTCATAATCAACTTTTAGAATGAGTGGAAATAAAGTGACAAAACAACGTAACCGACTCTAACCCGAAACAGTTGGGGCATTTATATGTAGCCACAGTAGGTTACAGAAAGAACTTCAAGAAATTTTTTTAATAAATATATCAATTGTTATATCATACTTGTGTATAAATATTATTTTTTCTAAAAATAAGTTCTATATGTTTAAGGTAAAACGCAAGGAGAACCAAAGGCTTTTGATCAGACAATTGCATATGATGAGGATGTTGAGTAATTATCATACAAAGAAATATAACCAAAGATTTGAAATTTCTTTTGTGTAATCATGTTCTCGTTTTTTATGATTGTTAAATTTTATGGTTTGTATAAACAATCTAATTGTGAAATATGGTTTTTTTATTAAACTTGATTTTTGTTGGCTTAAGTTGATTTATTATGACATATGGTGTTGAACTTTTGATAGCACGAGGATGAGTTGGGGATGGGCCCAAAATCTAGAGGGGAAGGGATTAGATTCCCCGCGTCCGTTGGGATGAGGATGAGGATGAGGATAAGGTTACAAACTCAAAGATGGGGGTGAGGATGGTAAACTCCGTCCATCTCTGCCCCATTGGCATCCCTATTTTTAATGGTAAAAGAACCAAAGAAGAAAAAAAATCAAATCAATAAAACAAAACACATGAGACTCTAATAGTCATCTTGAATACGTTTGTTTTGAAAAACATAATGAACTAATCGTGGAATTTTGTTTTGGAAAACCGAATATGTTTTTAATCACCAAAATGTTATTTATTTAATTTGTTTTCTAACTTATAATACATACATATATATATATATATACACACACACACACACTAGATTATAACCCGCTTTAACGCGGGGAGCGTATAAAAAACATAGAATTGTAAACATATATTACATCATAGGAAGCATGACAATTAAAAGTACATTACCATAGCTATTTTAAATTCATTATCATACATTACAATAGCTATTTTAACCTCGTAACAATTAAAAGAATAAATAAAAAAACTAATAAATCATAGAGTAATATAAAATATTTAAATAGTTCATTACAAAAAAAACAACTATTTTAAAATGCAAATTAAAATATATATAATCACTAATATCTACTTGGCATAGTCACTTTATGAAAATCAGAACGGATTGAAAAAACTTGTTGAGAAGGATGTGCCGGAACCACATACTCAATCGTATTTCCTTTAAAGAAATATAGGGTACTGTTTCTATAATCCCACCATTCATGTGCACCTTCATTGTAGTTACTAACATATACTTTAACTTACCGATTTTGAATGAAAACCCAAACAGCCCACAAATGATCTCCACTTACAGAGAAATATCCCAATTTTCCGTGAAACTTGATCAGTCTCGATGCATACGGTCTGAAGTTATTAATAATAGAAGGTGCAAACATGAGTATATGTTCTTCTGAATAAATATCAAATCGCAATATGATATCATTAGATAATAAGAAGTAAACGACACTGCCACTTGTAACTGCTTCATCAGAAACATGATAAACAGATGATGGTAACTAGATATTTTGAAACTCCCTCCATTGCATGTAGTAGATGAAAACAATTCTATGTTGTAGTAATCGTAGTCCACTTTTTCCGTAAGCATATCACTACAAATAAAATAACATATAAGTAAATAATAAAGTAAATTAATAACATAAAATATACTACATATAAACTCTTATGATGACTTTGTGTATAACAATCGAATGACCTTGAAATGTAACGGATTTGAACCGATAACTACCAAAACAAACTTTGCCATAGTGTATTCAAAGGTTGGAGAAGGTATCCATTTGAAATTTGTAGTCGTTGGTTTGATAACAAATAACATCTTTGAAATGTATTCATTTGGATCATATGATTCAACAAGAAGGAGTCCGCACAATGATGACGCTAAAATAGTACAAGTATGTGGTAGCAAATGAATGTCAAGATTCAACATCATTATCACACACTGGAGTCAAAATCAAACCTTGTTGTTCTTGACTTTTCAATCTCAACTGTTAAAAAGGGAGTGTTAAAAATCAAGATGTTCAACAACCAATGTGGTTTGGTGACTATCTACATAGAAATAACATCAACATTTTTTAAAAATCAAAACTTATAGATTTCAGTAAATACTATATACCTAGCAATTTGTTTCATCTTATTTCCAAGAAACTAAAAAAGCAAATAGATAGTGTGTACCTAGCAATTTGTACGACCAATCTCTTGTAATGAGCTATCATTTCCTTTTATATATATAACTTCCATGGGATCACTCTATATTTTAAAAATATATTTATTAGAGAGAAAGAAACTTTATCAACTTCTAAAAACAAGAAACAAAGCAATATTTCACATAAAATGCATACATTTGCAAGTACATGAAGTGATGTTTAAATTGGTGTTCATCAAAACTTGAGAACATAGTCACATACCTTGGTAAACATATCCATGTCATGCAGGTTTGAAGCAGAAAAAAAAACAGCTGCAAGAATTTGTTTATTAATTACATTAGTTTGACATGTATGCATATGCAGGTTATCAGGTATAACAACAATACATTGATAATCATAAGTAACCGTTTGTCTATCATACTTATGAGCGAACATCAAAGAACAATTATTTAGAAATGATGGATGCTTAAAATTTAAAATAGTAGTGCTGTTATAAATTCTACAATCTGTTATAAATTCTACAATCAGGAGATATATCAAAATCAAAATTAAAAACCAACCCATTGTCCCCTTTTTATAGGAAGCAACTACATGCTGCTACACTATACCCAAAACAAACATACTTTCATATCTGGACTGGAAATTACCTCCCTCAATCTAAACCTGCACATAGTCCGAACCTATTTTTCAACAACCAACATGAAACATAACAGAATGGTCAACTGATTCATCGATCAAAAACCTCGAGTGTATTACAGGTAAGCAAACAGAAAAGTGAAAACGTACACTTGGAAAACTCAAGAAACATTGTAGATTTGAATATTCATTACTTAGATAAGAAACCATAAAAGAGAAAGTGAAAACGTACACTTAGAAAGAGCAGCAGCAGAACCCTAGAGCCCTATTATCGTTGCCACAACAATTCTCCAATTAAAATCCAATTTCTGAATGAAAACATCAAAGATGACAAACCCATTCGGTTATAGAATCAAAATCCTGTCATCCGAGGAAGAACACATAGGAGCGGGGAAGAACACATATAATCGATTTGATGTATGAAATCGATGGGGTGACCCTTTCTGATGTCGATTGAAGGAAGCGATTGGGTTTAGAGCAAAAGAAAGGGATAAAGGTAAGAATATTATGGCGATTTTGGCATGATTGAAGTAAAAATTGAATGATTAGGTTACAATTGAGAGAGAGAGAAAGAGAGTAGATGACGAAGGAAAGAAAAATAAGCGTGTAACCGTGTTTGAGTAATGAAGGATGATGTCAACAAAACAATCCAAGGGTGAAAATTTAAAAATTGAAATGCAACGAAAGGGCCTTGATTTCTTAAGATTGGAATTTAAGGTTGTCTTTTAATTATATATATTATATATATATATATATATATATATATATATATATATATATATATATATATATATATATATATATATATATAGGTAAAAGTGAATATACCCTTAAAGGTATATAAGCTTAGGTACCCAAACTCACTATACTACATCGTTTTGTATCATATATAGGCATTGTAATTGTCCAATGTTCTTATAATTCAACTTCTAACTTGAATTACTTCAAAGATTTTTATAAATTTCATATTTATCTTCTTCTTACATAATTGTCATTTTCAACAAGAATATATATAGCCATGTAAGTGTTCGACAAAAAAATGTGTTGTAAGAGGAAGATAATATTGAAAATTTAAAAATATTGAATATAAATCAAGTTAAGGATTGAAGTTTAACAATATTATAATGAATATATTAAACAAAATGACGTATTATTATGAGTTTGGGTACCTAAGCTTATATACCCTTAAGGGTATATTCACTTTTCCCACACACACACACATATATATATATATATATATATATATATATATATATATATATATATATATATATATGGTTTAAATTAAAAAAATTATTCTATATATTTTATAAATCATTTATTATTCATTTGATATCATGTTTAAAAACAATAGGACAAAACTTTTGGAGATTACAAAGTTAGGGTTAGAAAATATAAAATAAAAACCTCCGCAGAGCCCATTCCCCCCATTTGTTACATGACGGTGCACAGCATCATCCGATACACTGGCGGCTATATCACCTGTATAATCCCTTAACAAACCCTCCTCCCACCCCCCATTATTTCTTCACAGCAAACCCTAGAGTCTCTTGTTCCTGCTACTTCGGTAAGGTATCTAACACCAGATTTTCTTCATCTTTCTGTTAATTTGGGCTCTTCTTTTGAATATCTCGAAATGGAGTTGTTTCACCTAACAGCACCTCGTAATTCGTTCACATTTTGCATTGTTCGTGTCACAGTATAATTCCGAGCTTTCAAGCGTAAATTTTTATACACCTTTTTTTTACTCAGAGGAAGTGATTTCCTTTAGAAAAAGAAAGTACTTCCTTATTCATACCTGTAGATGAATCCTAGATAATTCTGACTAATATTCATCATTAAACGTTTTACGTTTTTTAAGTCTCTGCAATCCTGTAATCAAAGACAGAGTCGCCCAATCTGTTGCAAGATATAGGATGTGTTTGATCCACGGAATACACTGTTCACAACTCAGATCCTGTGATTTTCTTTCTGAACCATTTCTGAATGACCTTAAAATCTACTCTGAAATAGGCATTACTAATTTATTCTTGTTGGCTGCAGATATGTCCGGGGCTTTAATTCACGCAGCCTCCTTCCTTGTTCGTGAAAGAATAAATGGAACCACAAAAGAGAAAAGAACAGTTAAAATGATGGCATGTTCTTACGCACCTCCCATGAGAATGAGAACCTTTTCAGGATTAAGAGGATCAAACGCTTTAGACAACATAATGAAACCCCCCCAAGATTTCCATTCAAAGGTAGCTATAGCAACCTCTGTACGAAAACAAAAAACCTCCAAAATCGTACCAAAAGCCATGTTTGAACGCTTCACTGAGAAGGCTATAAAAGTAATTATGCTTGCACAAGAGGAAGCACGTCGTTTAGGCCACAATTTTGTTGGCACAGAGCAAATCTTACTAGGCCTAATCGGTGAAGGAACTGGCATTGCTGCAAAGGTTTTGAAGTCATTGGGAATCAATTTGAAGGATTCACGTATGGAAGTTGAGAAAATTATTGGTAGGGGTAGTGGATTTGTTGCTGTTGAGATTCCATTCACCCCTCGAGCTAAACGTGTTTTGGAACTCTCATTGGAGGAAGCTCGCAATCTTGGTATACTTTATTATTATTATTTTTAATTATATGCTGCTATATAAAAATGAAGTCATTATAATATACGTACAATGTTATAGGTCACAACTATATTGGATCAGAGCACTTGCTACTTGGTTTGCTACGTGAAGGAGAAGGTGTTGCAGCTCGTGTTCTTGAGAATTTAGGAGCGGACCCCACTAACATTCGCACTCAGGTAACACTATTTTAGCATTTATTATTATTATTTTTTTAGGTTGCTAAATATTTGTAATAATGAGTAGGTGATTCGAATGATTGGGGAGAGTGCAGAAGCTGTGGGAGCTGGAGTTGGAGGTGGAGGAGCTTCAGGGAGCAAGATGCCAACACTTGAGGAATATGGGACAAACTTGACAAAGTTAGCAGAGGAGGTAATCCATGTGGATTTTTTTTTTTAACTTTTTTTTTTGTTTTCTCAAATTGGTTTTATAGAAAGGGAATATGTTTTTGTTGTTTTTTATAGGGTAAGTTGGATCCGGTTGTTGGAAGGCAATCACAAATTGAAAGAGTGACACAGATTTTAGGGCGTAGAACAAAGAATAATCCATGCCTCATTGGAGAACCTGGTGTAGGAAAGACAGCCATTGCAGAAGGTCTTGCCCAAAGAATTGCAAATGGTGATGTCCCTGAAACCATTGAGGGGAAGAAGGTGAGTCTGACTTCATGAAAACAGCTTTAGGGCTTACATATGACTCGATTTCTTTCTTTTCAATTATATTCAGGTAATAACCCTAGATATGGGTCTTCTTGTTGCTGGCACAAAATACCGAGGGGAATTTGAAGAAAGATTGAAGAAATTAATGGAAGAAATCAAACAAAGTGATGACATAATTCTGTTCATTGATGAGGTTCACACTCTAATTGGGGCAGGAGCAGCAGAAGGAGCCATTGATGCTGCTAACATATTGAAACCAGCTCTTGCAAGAGGTGAATTACAGGTAAACAATGATACTTCAAACTTAATTGTTATAAAATATAATCGGGTTATTTATTTGAATAGGATACTTTATTGTAATTTTTATGTGTCAGTGTATTGGGGCTACAACACTGGATGAATACCGAAAACATATTGAAAAAGATCCAGCATTGGAAAGACGTTTCCAACCAGTTAAGGTTCCGGAACCTTCCGTTGAGGAAACAATTCAGATTCTGAAAGGATTAAGAGAAAGATATGAAATTCATCACAAGCTTCGTTATACAGACGAGGCTGTAGTTGCTGCTGCTGAGTTGGCACACCAATACATAAGGTAAAAAAAAAAAAAAAACATCATAGGAAAGATGACATGTGATTGGTTTTAATTGATAATTATTTTTAATTTCAGTGATCGGTTTCTTCCTGATAAAGCAATTGATTTGATCGATGAAGCTGGATCTCGCGTGCGACTTCGCCATGCACAGGTACTACATGTATTTGTTTCAATTTTCTGTTATTGATTTCACCGAGTTAACCGGGTGGGGTTTATATAGCTACCTGAGGAAGCCAGAGAGCTTGAGAAAGAGGTTAGACAAATTACAAAGGAGAAAAACGAAGCTGTTCGAGGCCAAGACTTTGAAAAGGTAATTTTTATTTTTTTTTCGTAAAAATGTAATTTTTGTTATAAAATTTCCAATGTTTCTCAGGCAGGGGAGCTAAGAGATAGAGAAATGGATCTAAAAACACAAATATCGGCTCTAATCGACAAAAACAAAGAAATGAACAAAGCGGAGAGCGAAGCTGGCGAAGCGGGGCCCACAGTAACAGAAGCGGACATCCAGCACATCGTATCCACATGGACCGGCATCCCAGTGGAAAAAGTCTCGAGTGACGAATCCGACCGCCTCCTAAAAATGGAAGACACACTCCACAACCGCATCATCGGTCAAGACGAAGCCGTGAAAGCCATAAGCCGAGCCATCCGCCGGGCCCGCGTGGGTCTCAAAAACCCCAATCGTCCAATCGCGAGTTTCATCTTCTCGGGGCCCACGGGTGTTGGGAAATCCGAACTCGCAAAATCCCTAGCCACATACTATTTCGGCTCGGAAGAAGCCATGATTCGGCTCGATATGAGTGAGTTCATGGAACGACACACGGTCTCAAAGCTCATCGGCTCACCGCCCGGGTACGTCGGTTACACGGAAGGCGGGCAGCTGACCGAAGCGGTCCGCCGCCGCCCGTACACCGTCGTCCTTTTTGATGAAATCGAAAAGGCGCATCCGGATGTTTTCAATATGATGCTTCAAATTCTTGAAGATGGAAGGTTGACCGATAGTAAAGGGCGAACGGTTGACTTCAAGAACACGCTTTTGATCATGACTTCGAATGTTGGAAGTAATGTGATTGAAAAAGGTGGACGGAGGATCGGATTTGATCTTGATTATGATGAGAAAGATAGTAGTTATAATCGGATTAAGAGTTTGGTTACGGAAGAATTGAAACAGTATTTTAGGCCTGAGTTTTTGAATAGATTGGATGAAATGATAGTTTTTAGACAGTTGACGAAATTGGAAGTGAAGGAGATTGCGGATATAATGTTGAAGGAGGTGTTTGAGAGGTTAAAGGGTAAGGAAATAGATCTTCAGGTGACTGAGAGGGTTTAGAGATAGGGTGGTGGAGGAAGGGTATAACCCTAGCTATGGGGCGAGGCCGCTAAGAAGGGCGATAATGAGACTTTTGGAGGATAGTATGGCGGAAAAGATGCTTGCACGTGAGATTAAGGAGGGCGATTCCGTCATTGTTGATGTTGATTTGGATGGTAATGTGACGGTTCTTGGCGGCAGCGGTGGTGCTCAACCGGAGATCTTACCGGAGCCGATTGCTTTGTAGACGTCTTTTTATGACATTTTTTTTTTCTTCCCGAAAAGTTGGTTATGAATAGACTTTTGGCCGGTTTCCTTATTGGTCATGTTTGTTTTCTGAGTTAGGTTTACATTTCAAGGCTTGTATATATTACAGGACCAATTAAAGGTGGGAGATTTTGTGAGGTTAGAATTCTGGATTTAAAATTATTTTTTAAAATTTCGGGCTTTATTGTTATTATCTGTTTTATCGCAAAACAAAAAAGTTGAACAAAGTGGTGTAAGGTAGAAAATTAGAACAACTAGGGTATAACATTGCTTTTCTAATGGACATTTGGCAATGAGTAAATAGTAATTGGTTTTTTTTGAATGTCCTGTTAGGAGGGTTACTAAAAAGAATTGGAAGATAAAAGCAAGAATGGGTCTTATTATTCCAGATACGTTAAAACTGATAGGTTGATAAACGATTTAACACGAATATTGTTTTAAATATTTGTAATAATGGGTCTTATTGTATCACTCGCAAACAATTTTTTTTGATTTATTTCAGTTTTACAACCATAAAAGTGAGGACTAAATCCATTCATAAAACTTAGGAGGACTTAAGTTGTCAAAGCATAAAAGTCAGGGACCAAAGTCATTTCAAACAAAATGCGTAAATCTAAACTCTAAAGTTGAGGGGATCAAAATGCTATTTTACAAAGTTGGGGGATGGTAACTATAAGGTAACCAAATTATGTATATTACGGGGTAAACAAGAAAGTTTAAAAAATAGAGGGGGTATAAGTGATATTTTAAAATTTTAAAAATTGAAGTTAAAAACGATATTTTAAAAAGAAGAGGGTGGAAAATGAAGGATTTAAAAGAGATATTTTAAAAAAGTTAAGAAGGATAAAAATGATATATTACAAAATATAGGGACGAGAAGCATCATGTAACAAAGTAAAAATATACAAAATAAAAGGGTTAACAAAAGCCGGTGGAAAGCTCCACCGGTTTTGGTGGTTCGTAGCCCATATATGTCAAAATAGACATGTTGAATAAAATGCCGTTCTCTTTTCTTTTGATGTATGTTAAAATGTGTATTATTGATCGACCCACATTTCTTTTTAATCTTTAATTTTACGAGTAGCCAATGTGTTAATGGTTAGAGTAAAATACACGAAAAGTAATTTTTTTTTTTTTTTTTTTCACTGTTGTGTTTTTGTAGTTTGAAGCTCTAACTAGTAAAAAAACTTGTGTTAAGCCGCAGGTTTGTGTGAAGTGTAGTTATAAATTATAGAACGAGAGTTTTTTTTTTTTTTTTTTTTTTTTTTTTTTTTTTCCCATTATGATACATTTAAATCTTCATTTGTCATTTTCTTTAGCAATAATCTTTGCCACGGTACAAAGGTTTTGCTTTTTGTTTTTTTTTACGGTTTGTAAATCACGAGGAAGGAATGGAATGTAATGGAATTGAATTCCAAATTCAGCCAAATCCCATGGAATCCATCAACCTAAGTTTATGTGCATTTGTGTGTGTTTGTGTATGTACGCACACAGAGACAGATTGATTATATTCAACACCAAAAAAATACACGCTTACCAAAAAGTTGGTAAAGTAATTTGTTTCTAAGCAAGTAGCAACTCGATTTGATAATCATAAACACCAGCAAGATGAGAAATGGAATCATCTGGATCCACTAAACCACTTGACATCCTCATGGGTTTTGAGCCTTTCAAAGATCAACAATTGGGCAACGAAAACATTAAACAATTCTAATCTAAGACTCAAAACCATATAGATGTAACTCAAGTAATCTATACAACTTTGATATGACACACAAAGTAGGAAAAACGTACATTTGATTTTTTTTTTATTTTTTTTTTATTTTTTTTTATTTTTATTTTGTGTAGGTTTCTTCTTTTAATGAGTTGGTTGATTGGACTAGAGAACCTAACATAGCATTTCTCTTCTGTAAGTGCAACCAAGAAGCAAACCACTAGCAGATCTGAACCATCTCTGAACTCCAACCACGAACATATTTAAGAAACTCGAATCCGTGTCACGCCACGTCGTGGCAATTCAATGTCCACGTCATGGGAATTGGGTTTCCTATAATTCTAGGGTTTGAAGGGTTCCATGATTTTGTGGCCGAAAGATATTTTTCACATGTTTTAAATTCGAATTTGGAGCCCTCTATTTATAGGGAGGTGATTTGAAACCCTAGAGATAATCACCAAACTTAATTGTAGTTATCTATGAAATTCAATTCATTATGAAATATTCAATATTCAATTATTTTTTATTTATTAATTAAACTATTAATTAGTTAACAAAACAAGACCCTCAAATAAATATCTTTTCAGATCTGCTTTATTTTGTTCTTGTGTGTAACCCAAAATGACACTGTTATTTATAGTAATATTATTGGGCTTTTTTATGATTATGGGTACTAATCTCCATCAGCTCCCACTTGTACTTAGGCATCAACAATTGACCAATCCAAAACTTACTAGAGACAACCATGGGTAACAGTCTAATACAACTACTATACTTATAACAACTTTGCTATAAACAAACCTAAGACTGATAACTTCAAATTCCTTTGATCTTCGTGATATCTTACTATGAACTAGAGACATAGATCTAGGGTTAATCTCATGGATCACGATTATGTTTCCGATACCGAGTTGTGGTGACTTTCAGACTGACTGTCAAAACTAACCAACTTAGTGTCAGCTTGGCCAATCATTTGTTGTCAACATCAAATCAACGATGGGCCTATAGATATCTACTTCTCCATTTCTGGCAGAAGGATCAAATAAACTTTGACTATATAGGCTAGTGCTATTCCTCATGCAATATTTAGTCAAACGGTGTATGGTTTCTAGTTACGAACAATGTTGGGGAAAAACCAAGACAACAGATTGTAGAAATAGACCTCATGTATCTCCATTTGAAGAACAAGAAACAAAGTTATCTTAATTTACTTATGACATGATCCATGAAGTAATCTTTAAGTATAGTTACTCTAATACTTAAAATCTCTATTTTCAAGTACTTATTCGTATTGGTCGCATGGCTTTGCAATGTTCATCCCTATGAACAATCTACAAATATTATGACAATCTTAATTCATTACTATCTCCCAAGAGTAGGACTGATTATGGAAGTTTGAATAATAAAATTATTTTGGAAGTGGTTCTAAACATGCAAAAGAGGAACACATATAATATAAACATAGTAATTTATTTATTAATAATCACTAAATCAAAATATCCAATATGTTCCAAATGATCAAACTATCAATTATGAAATCAAACCAAATCACTAGAAAAATGAATGCCAATAACACTAGTGTGAGCATCGTGCTTAATATGTGATGATGGTTTAGTGAGTGGATCAGTTGGGTTATCTTTTGATGGTACTCTGCTCACAATGATGTTTCCATCTTCAACTAGTTTCATGATGTAGTGAAACTTTCTCTAAATATGCCTTGTGCACTTGTGATCTCGAGGTTTTTTAGCTAAAGCAACTTCTCCCTCGTTATCACATAAGATCTCAACTGGTTTGGTTATTCTGGGAACAACACCCAAACCATTGAAGAACTTCTTGAGCCACACTATTTCTTTGGCTACTTCATTGACTATAACATACTATGACTTTGTAGTTGAGTCAACTATATTCTCCTGCTTGGAACTTTTCCAAGTCACATCTCCTCCATTTAACATGAATAGATAACTAGATTGTGATATGAAGTTATCCATGCTAGTTTGAAAACTTGCATCCACACATACTTTGATGCTCAGTTCTTCTTTACCACTATAAACCAAGAATATATCTTTAGTCCTTTTTAATATACTTCAAAATGGTCTTGATTGTGGTGCAATGACTTTCTACTGGATTGGCTTGATAATGACTCGTCATACTAATGGTGTATGAGATGTCTGGCCTTTTACATATCATGGCGTACATGATTAATCCTATAGCCAAGGCATATATGATTCAACTCATTCTGTCCAGTTCTTCAGTAGTACTGGGACATTGTTTTTTTTTTTTTTTTTTTTTTTTTTTTTTTTTTTTTTTTTTCACTCAAAACCGTGCCACATTGCATAGGTACAAATCCCTTATTATATTCTTCCATCTTGAATTTCTTCAAGATTTTATCTAAATATGTATTTTGGCAAAGTTCTATTAGCCGCCTAGATCTATCTCTATAGATATTGATACCCAGTATGTATGCAACTTCTCCCAAATCTTTCGTAGCGAAACTCTTCCCAAACCATGTTTTTACACTATTTAGTGTTGGGATGTCGTTTCCTATTAGATTTTGATATCCTAAAAACTCCTGAAATGTCATGAAATTGATTCTCTAAGTCAAAATAAAGCTTAAGTGTTTATGAACTAGTTTTTCAAAGCATTGGTAAGAATTACAAGTCTAAGCAATTAAGTTGTTGGTTGTTCAAATGATTGGATTATCACACTTTCACCACAAATCCTCATGTAAAGTATATTTTCAAATGATTTATAACATCTTTGAATGTTATTTAATTCAATGAATCCATTTGGAAAAAATTTAGATGATCTATCAAGTCGAATAAGTTTTGTTTCTTAACTTAGGGGGGGGGGGGGTTGATGTATTGGAGTGCATTAATTCAAACCTCTTAGCATTTAGTCAATTAAATCAATAAATTATGGATGAGTTAATATGAATAGAGTAGCATTGAGTATTATTGGGATCTTATTGTATCATTTGAATGATGAGTTCAATTATTTGTGTAGGTTGACATTGGACATTCATATGCTTTGAGTTAGATTGAAGAAGTACTTCCAATGTAAGGTGAGTAAATACAAAAAGTACATGTCCCTATTAATCTATTGCTAAATGTTTTGGTATAAAACTCTATATTAAGTACCTTTTCTTTCCGTGTGACCATTATGGTATGTTTGGGCATTACATGAAACCTATTTTGGAAATGTCTTCACTTGAAAATATAATGTTGGATTGAAAACGTATATAATCGTCCTACTTGTGCATATCACTT